AAAGGATGAGCTTAAGCAAAGTTGTCTGCGGATGGAAGCTGAATTTAACCATTTTGAAGGTGACACTGATGTGTCTGAATTTTTTTCTGATGATGCGCAGTCAGGTTCAAATGACAACAATGTGCAATTACATCCAGGTTCCCCCTCTGAAGAAGAAGCTGCACAAGTAGATACATCAGTGGTCCAGAAACTTAAGCCAGTCAGAAACCCTGGTCCAACCATTAGATCCCACCAAGAGGTTCAGAAAGAGGTAAAACCAGACTGGTTTCCTGAAGCAGATGAATTTTGTTTTCCTGGTGATGTTGGCATTAGTGATGAAGAAGAAGAGCCTGAAGGAGCTTTCAAACTAGCAAGTGGCAGGAAGAGAGTGTTGAAGAAGTCAAAGGATAGGGTATGGTTCAATGAGAAGCTTCCAGATCCACATGAACAGTTTTGTAAGGGATTGTGCTTCACCACTGTTTATGAGTTCAGAGATGCACTTAGGGATTTTCACATCAGGACTCTGAGGAATTTCCAATATCACATAAATGCCCCTGATAGGATTATTGTTTGGTGCTCAAAGAGAGCCCATGGATGTGATTTTCATATCAGTGCATCTAAGATAGCTCATGAAAAAACTTTCTGCATCAAGAAGTGTGATATGCTGCATACTTGTGGAGCATGTGCAGAGACCACAAAGATTACTACAAAGTGGTTGTCCAAATCAGTACAACCAGCATTGAGAGAAGACATTAGATCTCCTATGGATGCATTAATAAAGAAGACTAAGACTAAATTCTCAGTTGATGTTTCAAGAAGTGTTGCCTATAGGGCCAGGAGGAAGGTTGTTGGTGTGGTGCAGGGTGACCACAAGCAGCAGTACTTGAGGCTGAGGGATTATCTTCAAGCTGTTCTTGATACGAACCCTGGGAGCAGGTGTATTGTAACAACATTTGTTGACCCAGAAAACCCTGCACCCACTCCTAGATTCAAGTACATGTTCTACTGTTTGGCAGCTTCAGAGGAAGGGTTTCTTAATGGTTGTAGACCATTTATAGGTAAATATTTCCTGATTGTGTTGTACATATTTGTGTGTCAATTTTCTTCTGTAGCTAATGTGTGACTCCATCCAGGGCTTGATGGATGTTTCATCAAGTTAACCACAGGACAACAAATTCTTGCTGCCACAGGAAGGGATGGCAACAATAACATCTACCCTATAGCTTTTGGTGTGGTTGACAAGGAAGATGGAGACAGTTGGACTTGGTTTTTAACTCAGTTGAGATGCTGCATTGGTAGTGGCAACAAATTTGGAACATACACAATAATATCTGACAGGCAAAAGGTTAGAAACTAAATCATTAACCATAGTTGGTATAGTAATTCACTGAATTATGTGAGTGTGTTCATATGTAGATCTATTTTCTGAATGTACAGGGTTTACTTAAGGCAATAAATGAAGTGTTCCCTGATTCACCTCAAAGATTCTGTCTTAGGCATATATATGCCAACTTCCAATCAGCTGGTTACAGAAGCAAAGAACTAAAGAAGTGTGTTGACAAGGCTAGCTACTCTTATACTAGACATGGGCATGAATTAGGGATGGCAGAGCTGAAAGCACAGTGTGAGGATGCTTGGAAATGGCTTAAAATATAAAAGTCTCTGCTTGGGCTAGGTATGCTATGGACCATACTTGCAAAACAGATCTAGTTGTGAACAACTTTAGTGAAGTCTTCAACAAGATGATACTTGATGTAAGATCCAAACCAATAAGGACAATGTTTGAAGGGATCAGGACAAAGCAGATGATCAAGAGGCAACAAACTAGGGAGAAGTCACAGACTTGCAGGTGGACAATCACACCAAATTACTCAGAGATTCTAGAGGAGAATAAAAAATATGCCAAGTACTGCCAGGCTGACAAAGCTGGTGAAACAATTTGGCAAGTAACAAGCAAAGAAAAGCAATATTGTGTGGACATGGCAACCTGCACATGTGACTGCAAGAGATGGAACATGACAGGTGTACCTTGCAGTCATGGCATATCTGCAATGACAAAACAAAAGTTGCATCCTGAGGACTATGTGTCTGAATTCTTCAAGAAGCCATTGTACATGGAGACATACAAAGCAATTATTTACCCTATACCTGGTCCAGATTGCTGGCCTGATACAAACACTCAAGACATTCATCCTCCTGTGCTCAAAGAAAAGGCAGGCAAAAAGCAGACAGTAAGGAGGAAGGGAGAGTTTGAGGTTCTAGCTCCAAGAGACACAAGTAGGATGGGCACTATCACATGTGGAAACTGTGGTTTAGAAGGATACAGGTATACAATATGCAACAAGACTCTGAATCCTAGTCTTCAGATGAGGAAAAACAAACACCAGATAATTATCAAGCTTGGAAAAAATCTCAGACATTTCTGAATGAGTACACTTTTAGAAATAAAAGTTATGTTTGACATGCAGGAAAACAGGGCAGTTTACTCTGATATACCTGCTGCAAGAACCACATCAGTCCCTGTTGCAAGAGGTAGAAGAGGAGCACAAACTTCATGTAGGCCTGCTACATCTCAACCAGGTCCTTCTACTTCTGCATCAGGCCCTACACCAAGAGCTAAAAGAGGTAGGACTGCAGGTGGAGGGAGGATCCATGGATTCACTGCACCAAGAGCTGCAACCACTTCAGATATTCAAGTTGGGACCAAGAGGAAGAGGACCCCAAGCTCAAAATTGGCAGGCTACTTCTACTGCAGTGGTAACTACTGAAACCTGTCAGCTCAAATTTGGGAGGTTTTATGTGCACTTTCTTAATTTGTTTAGCACTTTCTGAATTTGTTGTGCACTTTTCTGAACCTGTCGTGCACTATCTGAACCTGTCGTGCACTATCTGAACATGTCGTGCACTTGTGGGTGGAAATGGGCCTCAGACTGGGCTCTCATATCGGACCACAGTCCACAAGTCTGCGTAGGTGTCTATAAAAAGACCCTAACCTGTCCTTTCCCGTACCACTAAAACCCTAGCCGCCAGCATCACTACAACCCTACCTTAGCCACAAAGATGGATCCAAGCATAGGAGAGGTTGTCGATGACCAGGATGAGAGTTCTAGAGCAGCAAGAAGGGCCGCAAGAGCGGAAAGGAGGAGTCGTAGGGCTCAGGCACGTGAGCAACGCCAGAGGCTGGCTGCAACGATTATGGCAGCCCGCAACTCCCTCGACGTGATGCAGTTCAAGGAGGTGTTCCCAGATGGAACAAATCATCACCGATGAATTGATCATTTGGTGGGCTAGAGATAGTGCAACCTTCCATCGCTACCAAGTCACAAGGGCTAGGTGGAGCAGAATTCTTGATTCTGCATCTTGAAACAGTTCAAGGTTAAGTTCTTCAATGTTATCTGAATTCTCCAAGTCTCTGGTTCTACTATGTATGTGATGATGTATCTGAAATTTCTCTGAATATATGCGCACTTGTATGCGTGGATTTGCAGAATTTGCTGAAATTGTGCTCTGAATCTATGCGCTTTTGTATGCGTGGATTTTCTGAATTTTTCGAATTTGTGCTCTGAATCTATGAGCACCTGTTGATTTTCTGAATTTGTGCTCTGAATGTATGTCAATTTCTCTAATTTTTCTCTAGAAACAGTATCTCAGTCAACAATATATGTTTTCACCACAAAATAACGATTGCACAACTTTCACCTAACATCACTTAACCAGCACAAGTTTCAGCACACAATAACTACTCCACAACTACCACCCTGTCAACTACTGCTGCACAAGTTTTACTTCTTCACTGCCTCACTCCACCTCTCTTTAACTACCCCCTCTTTCTTCAGCTACTCTACTCACATCACTCTACTCACATCACTCTACCTCACGACAACTTCACCTAGCTCAACACCTCTGCACTCACCACTTCCTGCTCCAACCATGGCTGCTTCTTCCTCTTCTTCAGACCCATGGCTCAACCTATTCCCAACTGGCAAGGTATGGGTTGCCATGCTTTATGGTTCAACGCGCGGCGACGACGACCTCTTCGTGGACTACATGAAGGTCGCCACAAGGTACACCAGCGTTCAAGATCTGGTGGATGGAGCAGACGAAGTGAGAAAGAAGACGGCGAGTGAGGAGAAGCAATGCATGGACCAGCAATATGGAAACCGAGGTAAGGGGATCCTGCCCATAGATATACTGCTATGGGGAATGAAAGAGGCGGGCTCCGCCGATGCTGGGCAGAGGTAGCGGTGGGCAGACCACCACTACGTCGCCCCAGCATAATCTACGGCTGAAGCAAACGCAAACAAGCACCAAGACGAGGACGACGACCTCCAGATCATCGCACCACCAGCACTGCAGGCTCGCCGCCGCCCTCCTCCCATCATCTTCATCGATGAAGACAAAGATGAAGAAGAACAGGAGGTGCATATGCTGGCAAATCATCCTACCGAAGTGAAGCAGGAGGTACGACGCTCAGGCCGCTTAGCAGGGCAAGCGCCTAACTGAAACTGAATGTGAAACTATTAAGTTTCACATTCAGTTTCGCCAGTCTTATTCAGTGTTGGCTAGTTTCAGTTATCCTCAAACTATTTGGTGCTATCTATCTATGTAATGCTATGTATGTTGCATCCTCGGACAATTTGTGTTATCTATGCTACCTCCTATGTAATGCAAGTTTCAGTTTCATTTTCATTTTCATTTTCAGTTTCAGTTTCAATGTTGTTTGGTGTTACTAGATTCAAGTGTAAGTATTAGCAACAACTACCTAGCAGCAACAAATTGCATATGGAGATATAACAACATCTGGATAATATGGTTCAGGTGGCATTACAAATAGGATTATCTTAGAGCATTACAGATCAGGGGCATTACAGCACCCAACAACACAACCAAAATGATCTGAAACCATAGGCAGTTCATAGGGAGTTCATATTAATATTAAGATGCATATCTGCATCAGATTCTAGTACTAGACCAGCTATATATATAGGCCTCATATTCACTTACCAACCCTAGCTACCACTTCACTCCTCCATGACAACTTCTTTGATCTTGTCTAGCTTTTCTTTGCACCCATGACCTGCCTTCAAGAGCTCAGCAATGATATGCTCCAGCTTCTTCTTCTCTTCTTTAAGGAGGTCTCTCTCAACTTGTATCTCCTTCATGGCTTTCCTGGTGTTTTGAATGATATCATCTTGACTCTACATGATGCACCTTTGTTCTTTCTTGAGCTTAAGCTTCTCCATTTGAATCTTAATCTTTGCCCGCTCCTCAAGCTGATGCTTCTTCTCCTTAAGTTCATTGATTGTCTGGATTGTGTAATCCATGTCATGGGATTTCTGCCCATCCTGGTAATCAAGCAGCTTGGATACATCATCCACAAGCTGACTGTACTGATTGCCAAGAGAATCCAGCTCCTTCTTTAGTTTCTCAACCTCTATCTCATGAACCTCTTTGTCTTGCACTCTATCAAGGTTCTTCTCATGATACATATCCCAGAGCTTGGTTAAGCATCTTTGCAAAATCACAGGCCAAGGGGCATCTACCCACTCTAAAACACCACAGTTCACACCATCCTGAAAATCCAGTTAAATTTAAAGTGAGCTTTATTCTTCATTAACAAACATATTCACAATAACAAATCATAAACAGTACTCATATATGTAGCTACAATACACTAGCTAACTCTATGCTACAAATTATAAATCAGTGCTATGTTTCCATTGCTCTTTGTTGCTATTTGCTACAAGTACATAATTTAGACATAGCAATGTTCTTATAATTAATCAAAAATGAGAAAAGCAGCATCATTATTCAGAAAAGCACAAAACGAATCAATCACAGCCATGACAACTTGGTTCATTACCTCAGTTGCACATCCTATGAATCTCCTGCCAGTGTCAGTGCCTTCAAATGCCACAAATTTGCCAGCCCTCTCCCTGTGCAGGATGCACCTACGGTTAGATTCAGTCACAAGTCCAGAAAAGCTTGGATCTATCACAGTATCTGGAGTTTGCTGCAGCAGGAAACACATATATGTCAGCTACAACTCGCATACATGAACTTAAATGGAGAAATCCCTATCCTTCTTCAAACCCTAACCCTAGCAGAGGAGAGGAGAGGAGAGATTGAGCTGACTTACAAAATACTCCATATTCATGCTACTAAACTCGCTCATGTACTCGTCATCATCGTCAGAGGTCTCGTTGCTGTTGGGCCACGACGGCATGGTCGCGGTGTCGCCGGAGTGCGAGAAGAAGAAGAGCAGTGGAGAGCAGAGGAGAAGAGTGAGTCGGGGGAGAGTGAGGTGGTGAGGACGAGGAGCGAGCCGGTCGGCCAGGTTATGCCTAGTCCGACCGGGCCCGACCGACACGCGCGGCTAACGGGCGGCAGGCGAGCGCCGTTAGCCGTTAGCGCGGCCTCCGTCCTGACCGGTGGGCCGGGTCTGTCAGAAAGTCGTTTACAACACTTCAATCAGTCATCAACGCGATGTGGTAGTTTTTTGTTACGAAATCAGCGCTAAACTGAAGTTTTTGGTCAGTTTTCAAAATGTGATAGTTTTGTGGGACGCTTACGTGAAATGTGATAGTTTTTTGTCAATTACTCTCGGTTACTGTGGCCTGTGTGGACGGGACCATGGTCCATGGACACGAATCAAGGCCTCTGTGCGAGTTGTGAAAAACTTTTATTGTCCGAATTTAAACACACCCACCACCACCCTACGCTGTTCGGCAGAGACCCAACGGCATCGCAGGACCAGCTAGGGGAGGATGAAACCAAAGCAGAGTCTCTTATTTTCATTATTGATGAAAAATATACCCAGCATCACATCAACCAGCAGGTGATGTGCAAAAGTTGCACGGAGGCGCAAGCAAAATGCTTCAGCGAACAAGAATGTAGCAGCACTAGTTCAGTTTCAGACAGCTTCAGACACTGCTGCAGCAAGAGGTGGCTCGGGCCGGACTGGCCAAACACTGGACCCTCTCGTACTGCCGATCATGAGGAAGCAGTCGCACTGGCCGGGCTCTCTACCGCGTCTTCCTCCAGGTGGATCAGCTTCCCACTGATTTTCCTGGCACAGTCGCAATCATTCATCATGTTCATGTTAGCTCCTCTGATAGATATATCTGCTGAAAGCGCTAACAGGAAAATGTAATGCAGGAGTATGTACCTCTGATGGTGTGGTTTCTCATCGGACAAAACTTTCATCAATCTCTCCTCGAAAGGCGTGGCATGCCAGTTCACCCTCTGGTCCTGAGAACATCCAATCACGTACAACGGCTCGTAAGTTACATACAGATAACCGTGAAAGCGAGGAAGATTAGAGGGAAAATGCGCACCTCTTTGTACTTGGTGGTGGTGTTGGGGATCCCGTTGCCGTCCCAGGCCTTGGGCAGCATCGGGGTAGGGTTGTTCTCGTTGTCCCAGTTCAGCCCAGAGGCCACAAAGACGGGCACGTCGCTGAGATCGACGCTCCCGAAGCCCAGCTGCCGTCCAGTCTGGCCCTCACCCTCACCATCCGCACACGTAGTCTTGAGCCAGCAAGACAGGCTGGCCACGCCATGCTTCCCGTTCTCCGAGCTCTTGCTCAGCAGCTCTCCGACGCCGCCGCCGCCCACAAGCTGCTGCTGGTTGACGTTCTCATCCTCTGGACACGCCACTTCTTCGGCGTGCTGCTCTTTCCAGCCGCCATGGAACAGAAATGGCGCAGACTCTGATGATAGCGCTGCGTCTGCATTCACTGAGCCTGGAAGGGTTTGCTGACGGGGCTTCTCGTTCTCGGTGGAATCTGCAGACAGGTACCTTCTTTTGGGAGGGTGAGAGGCGACCACGGGGGAGGAGGACTCGTCTCTCAGCTCCGTCCACTGCAGCTTGTTCTCGATGGGTCGCAGGACGGGGTACAGGAACTGCTTGCTGGCCCTCCCGCGCTTCCCGGGCTTGAAGTTCCCCTGGTGTGTGGTGAATCCAGGGGTCTGGATGTCGTCCCTCAGAACCAGAGGGGTGGGGAAAGGCGAGTCGCTAGGATCAGGATTCTGGTTCCTGATGATCTGGCCTGAGGACCTTTCCTGCGACGATGATCTCGCCGCTGATTCAACCTCAGTGACATGGTCGTCAGTGCCTTCGTCGGTGTCCTGATCATGCTTCACAGCACCATCGTGCCCGTCGGAGTTGAACCTGTTTTATTGGAAAGAAACAGCAAAATTGATTTTCAGACCAGCTAACAGTAGTCGTCACCTTACTACTGTAGTTTACAGGATCACAACATTCATGATGATCTTGTTCAAAAAATAATAATCATGGAGATAGATGGTACAGTAGTTCTTTACCCCTCAGACAAGTAATCCTTAATTTCAGACACCAGGGCCTCTTTAGTCTCCTGTGCATTGTTGGACGTCTCATTGCACTGGGTGTAAGAAAAAAGATGTCAGACGGTGATTTTTATGAAAAGAAGATCACAAAGACAAACTCAATACGACGACACCTCGTTAATTTCTCGCTCTTCGACTTGGTTTGATGCTTTCAGAATTTCGGGAGGGGTTTCTGATATTGCGCCACAAGATTTAAGATAATTTGCCTGGTATAATAGTGGAATTCCATGAAAACATCGTCAGAATTTGTTACTAGTATAATTTAGAGTGCCAAGATTTAAAAGATAACACGGAATTGCAACAGTGAAGTGTAACAATATCTATCAGTATGCAGTGCAGAGATAAATGTAGAAATATCAAGCAAATGAGCATTACAGAACTTTTTCATTGTAATTGGTTGGTGCTAACTATGCCAAAATCTGCTAACCAGTAAGACTTGGACTATATCTGAAGATTATAATCCTAACTATTGAACTGCATAGACCTGAAATTTGAGAACCAGTTAGACTTGGCCTACATCTGAAGATTGTAATCATAATTATTGAATTGCATGGACCTAACCACCTCTCCGAAGTTTAAGGCTTTAAGCTGATGGAGAAAGGCAGATAATATATTTCACCACTTCCTCTCACGTCTAGTCTGTTCTCATCCTTGGACTTGAGATCGACGTAGGTTACAACTATTCAGAAAGTGCGTTGGCAGGGTGTTGAAAATTTGAAATGTTGACCTGTTGGCCATGATATCGTATTAAGTTGCATGCACATAACAACCTTGCCCAAATGCATATGTGGAAAAGATGGACAATATATTTCAACAATAACTAACCATTATAATATTCTAAACTACATAAACAATGCATACGAAAAACCTTTATGAGGTTATACATTGTATAGCATGGTCCTTGATATAATTCTCCAAAGACAAAAGGTTGAAGTGGAATTGAAAAAGAGCAAGATTTAATCTTGACAGTGCACACAGACTTCAGCAAAGCCTTAGCCTGATGGGGAAAGGCAAGCAATACATTTGAACACTAATTGATAACTCTATTATTCAGAACTACCTATGCGACATATACGACAAAATCTTTAGAAGGTTGTGCATTTTACAGCATGATCTTTCCATATATTTTTGCAAAGTCTAAAAGTTCAGATGGGACCTAAAAAGTCAATATTTAATTTTGAAATCAGCGCACATTGACTTCAGCAAATGTGATAACTAGTATCTGCTAGACTTGCAGTGTACTTATCGTGGAAATTTTTATGGCACGCCCACTGAAAATGGTCTAAGCAAGGGTTTCAAATCCGCAAATCGTGTCCTATTCGGCCAACAACTAGATGTGTCTCCACAAGCAAAAAGGTTAAAAGGTATTTAAAAGGTAGATGGTATTTTTGTTGCCACAGGTGCATACTTTACACATTTCACTGAACATTAAACAGTGCGGAGCATAGTAGTTAGCCCAAATGACAAAACTAACACCAACTGAACATGGCATATTGAGGAGATGAATTTTAGATTTAAAATTTAAAAACAAAAAAGCCAACCGCCATACATTCCCGAAACCAAAGAATGCATGGAAGGAGAACGTTACGACATTTTGCTGCTAGGGCAGCAGCACAATTTCCATTCTGGTAAAGTGCAGTGCAGACTTAACAGCCAACCCTAGGTACTAAGAAGGCCCCTTGGCAATTGCAGAACGACCTTCTAACTATAAAGTTCATTGATTTCCATTCTAGTAAAGTGCAGTGCAGACTTAACAGCCAATCCTAGGTACTAAGAAGGCCCCCTTGGCAATTGCAGAACAACTTTCTAACTACAAAGTTTGTCTAGACATAGCAGATTAGCAGGTACAGACTTGACAGTCTATCCATGAAGGCCACATCGACAGTGCAGACGTGTCAAAGTCAAAACGTAAGCATCAACCAATTCATTTTTTTCCCTGCCACCCACCGGCAACACGGCCTGAATACCGACGGAGCTGCGCACAGTTAAAAAAACACAGAAACAGGAAAGCGCTTTGCAGCCGATCTCGGTACCTCTCGCCTGAGGTCGTCGTCGACCCCTCCGTCGTTCCCGAGACCCTCCTTCGGCGTCCGGCTCTCCTCAAGCTCTGAAAACAAAACAACACGCAATCAGCAGTCCGTCACCATCATCAGCAGATCGAATCGGATCCGATCGGCGCAACGGGAGATTCAGAAACTCACTCGCCGTGCCGTCGTCGTGGTGGTCGTCCAGGAAGGCGTCCCCGAGCCGGGTCTTGCGCACGAGCGGATCCTGCAGGGAAGAAACACCCGGAGAAACAGATCATCGGCACGCGGATCGGAGACGAGGGGTCCAGGGAAGACGAGATCGCAGGGGGTGGGGGTGAGCGTACGTGGAGGGCCCGGCTGGCCGGGTCGGGGCGGCCGCGGAAGCACGAGAGGAAGCAGCCCATGGCGGCGTCGAGAGAATCCTGCGGCGAGCTCGCTCAGTCGTCGCCGCCGCGGTCGAGGGTTTGGGGATTGGTGCGGCGGGATCCCGGGGAGTGATTGTCGGAAATGGAAGGTCGGAGCAGGGGGGAGAAGAAGAGGCGGAGGTGAAGGGGGGACGAGATTTGAAAAGAAAATTCGAAACGGAGACACGGACACCGCAGAGGGGGCAGAGGGGGGACGGGAGGATTTGTTTTTTCGCCTAGCGTGGTGGGCCTTTTTGTGCCGTTAGGTGGAAATGGGTTGGGCGTAGATGGGCCGGACGTAGAGACGAATGTGCCGTGCGGTGGAAACACTGGATGGACGAAGCATTGGTTATTTGTCCCACCTCGCTTGCTTAGTGGAGTTGAGCTCGAGCTGATCGCTACTTATAGGGTGTCAGCCGCAGTGATAGAGCCCAGGCAGCTGCGTGGTGAGCATAAAGCGAACTATTCTTTCGCCTTTTACTAAAGAATACCGTGTGCGCACCATATCAAGCAGCATACACCTATTTTTGAAGGGTTCTTTTCTCTTGATGAGGAGGGTCCCACAATTCAGTCTACAAAATTTGTTCACGCATTGATCAACTTACTTTCAAAGCCTAGGCAAGGTCTATACCAATTCATCAGCCATTTGACATGAAGCAATCATTCTTAGTTTCACATGCCTAGGATTTTTTTTATTAAAAAATGAATAGATGCATGCATCACATGCTTGTCACTAAAGCACGTCCAATCCCCTAAGAAAAAACTAAAGCACGTCCATGTTATGATTCATTTCAGAATTTAGAGAGGAGTGCGACAAAGATGGGGATGAATTTATAGAGGGATGTAGCAAAGGTGGGAATGCAAGGATCATAACGGCTTTTGCAGCGAATGCTCTGTGATGTGTCTAACCCGTGCACGAATCTCAGTGCGTGACAACGTGGGAATCCTCATGGAACATCGTTCGCTTCATTCACCCCTTGAAACGGTTGAAATCTTGAACGAGTGACATTCTTTATACAGAGCATGGCAATTACTGTGCGTAGCATGGCAATTTCGTCTCATGTAACGTGGCAATTTTTCTGAAATATGCGTGGCAACTTTCTTAACCGTTGGATGGCGTTTATATTTGTTGTAGCATGCCAATCCTATTCTGTGAGCATGACAATCGCTAACTAGTTAGACAATTTTTTATCATATAGTGCAGCGATTCTCTCTGATGCAACATTTACCGTGTTCTAATATCACTAGTAGAAAATAGGACTTTGGTTGGGGCCTGGCCAGCCCATTAGTCCTGATTCAGTCACGAACCGGGACCCATGGGGGGCATACGTCCCGGTTCGTGCGCTCAAGGGGTCGGCCAGGCCTTGGGAGGCATTTGTCCCGGTTCGTGTGGACCCATTTGTCCTAGTTCTAGGCATGAACCGCGATCAATGGTCCTCGCTCCTGGCCCACATCCATTGGTTTCGATTCGTGCCTAGAACCGAAACAGAAGGGGGGCCTTTAGTCCCAGTTCCAGCCACGAACAGGGACCAATGAGGTGGCTATATATACCCCTTCACCGCGGCAGAGCACTCCACAGTGCTTTGTTTTTTCTGGCCGGCGAGGGTAGAGCTTTGTGGTGCTCTAGCTCACCTCCTAAGCACATGAGGTGTTCGATGAAATGCCCGAGCCACACTAGTTAAGCTTTATCCTCTCGAAGCTCGACCTCCAAACTCCATTTTCCCCAAGATTTGTCTAGGTTTAGCGGTCCGTCACGTCCCGTCCTCGTCTTCACCGTCGTCGATCGCCCGTGCCGATCTGGTCGCCGACACCATCGTGGTGAGCCTCTTGTTCTTATCTTATTTCTGGAAAAGAAATCTTACTTTATATAGATACTTGTCTAATTTTCTTACTTCTATTATTGCTTGTTATTATATAGTGCGATGGTTTTGGTATCCGCCCCCGTCGGCCCTCGTCCTGGCTATGATTCGGATGTGGTATATATATATATATTATCTTTTATAACTATTTGGTTCATTTATTGTTTATGACAATTATGCCGACCAATGTGACATAGATTTTATTTATCTAGGAGGTATGTGAACCGGAAATTCCAACCGACACTATTGTCGAGAGGTTAAATTTAGTTGAAGAACAAAACAATTACTTGAAGAAAAAAAATTAAAAAAATTGAGGAGGAGAAGATGATATTGAAGTTGCATGTTGCGGATGTCGTCGATGATCACAAGATCAAGATGGATGCAATGCGGTTGAAGATTAGAAAGATTAGAAAATATGACATTCATATCAAGGCTTGGTATCATTATGCCGTAGGATCAATTGTTACCCTGGTTGTGATTATGATCGCATTTGTTGTTGCATTGAAAGATTTTACATAGTTTCAATGTATGGTTTAATTAGATGCTCTGGAGAGCTATATGTTGTTCAATGAGAACTATGCATGTACTTTGGTTTTAATGTGATGATGAACTTCTATTAATTTGGTCAATTATCTATCCATGTGAATCTGTAATGGTTTTTGACACACATAATTATATATAATGCACACAGATGAACCGACAATGGATGTACGGTGACAGACACACCTCCGAGTACATTAAGGGCCTGCATAATTTTCTCGAAGTGGCTGAGGCAAACAAGCAGAATGGTTTTATGTGTTGTCCATGCACTATATGTGGGAATACGGAGTCTTACTCTGACCGAAAAATCCTTCACACCCACCTGCTTTATAAGGGTTTCATGCCACACTATAATGTTTGGACCAAGCACGGAGAATTAGAGGTTATGATGGAAGACAACGAAGAAGAAGAGGACTATGACAACTATGTGCCCCCTGAATACGGTGATGTTGCAACGGGGGAAGCTGCTGAAGATCAAGAGGAACCAGACAATGTGCCCGATGATGATGATCTCCGCCGGGTCATTGTTGATGCACGGACATAGTGCGAAAGTCAAAACGAGAAGTTGAAGTTCGACCGCATGTTAGAGGATCACAAAAAAGGGTTGTACCCCAATTGCGAAGATGGCAACACAAAGCTCGGTACCGTACTGGAATTGCTGCAGTGGAAGGCAGAGAATGTTGTGCCTGACAAAGGATTTGAGAAGCTACTGAAAATATTGAAGAAGAAGCTTCCAAAGGATAATGATGTCTACTACACAACCTTCTTCTTGTAGACATTGTTGGGCCTCCAAGTGCAGAGGTTTGTAGGATAGTAGCAAATTTCCCTTAAGTGGATGACCTAAGGTTTATCAATCCGTAGGAGGCGTATGATGAAGATGGTCTCTCTCAAGCAACCTTGCAACCAAATAACAAAGAGTCTCTTGTGTCCCCAACACACCCAATACAATGGTATATGGATGGTAGATAATAGTTTTTGTAATCTGAAAATATAAAAACAACAAGGTAACGAATGATAAAAGTGAGCGTAAATGGTATTGCAATGTGTTGAAACAAGGCCTAGGGTTCATACTTTCACTAGTGCAAGTCCTCTCAACAATAATAACATAATTGGATCACATAACTATCCCTCAACATGCAACAAAGAGTCACTCCAAAGTCACTAATAGCAGAGAACAAACGAAGAGATTATGGTAGGATACGAAACCACCTCAAAGTTATTCTTTCCAATCAATCCGTTGGGCTATTCCTATAAGTGTTACAAATAGCCCTAGAGTTCGTACTAGAATAACACCTTAAGACACAAATCAACCAAAACCCTAATGTCACCTAGACACTCCAATGTCACCTTAAGTATCCATGGGCATGATTATACGATATGCATCACACAATCTCAGATTCATCTATTCAACCAACACATAGAACCTCAAAGAGTGCCCTAAAGTTTCTACCGGAGAGTCAAGACGAAAACGTGTGCCAACCCCTATGCATAGATTCTCAAGGTCACGGAACCCGCAAGTTGATCACCAAAACATACATCAAGTGGATCATAGAATACCCCATTGTCACCACAGGTATCCCACGCAAGACATACATCAAGTGTTCTCAAATCCTTAAAGACTCAATCCGATAAGATAACTTCAAAGGGAAAAACTCAATCCATTACAAGAGAGTAGAGGGGGAGAAACATTATAAGATCCAACTATAATAGCAAAGCTCGCGATACATCAAGATCGTGCCACCTCAAGAACACGAGAGAGATCAAACACATAGCTACTGGTACATACCCTCAGCCCCGAGGGAGAACTATTCCCTCCTCGTCATGGAGAGCACCGGGATGATGAAGATGGCCACCGGAGAGGGATTCCCCCTCCGGCAGGGTGCCGGAACGGGTCTAGATTGGTTTTCGGTGGCTACGGAGGCTTCTGGCGGCGGCACTCCCGATCTATTGTCGTCTTCGAAGTTTTTAGGGTATATGGGTATATATGGGAGGAAGAAGTACGTCGGTGGACCTCCGGGCTGTCCACGAGGCAGGGGGCGCGCCCCCACCCTCGTGGGCAGCCCGGGACTCTCCTGGTCCAACTCTGATACTTCGTGGGCTTCTTCTGGTCCAAAAATAAGTTCCGTGAAGTTTCAGGTCAATTGGACTCCGTTTGATTTTCCTTTTCTGCGATACTCTAAAACAAGGGAAAAAATAGAAACTGGCACTGGGCTCTAGGCTAATAGGTTAGTCCCAAAGATCATATAAAATAGCATATAAATGCATATAAAACATCCAAGGTTGATAATATAATAGCATGGAACAATCAAAAATTATAGATACATTGGAGACGTATCAGCATCCCCAAGCTTAATTCCTGCTCGTCCTCGAGTAGGTAAATGATAAAAACAGAATTTTTGATGTGGAATGCTACCTAACATAATTTCAATGTAATTCTTCTTAATTGTGATATGAATATTCAGATCCAAAAGATTCAAGATAAAAGTTCAATATTGACATAAAAATAATAATACTTCAAGCATACTAACTAAGCAATTATGTCCTCTCAAAATAACATGGCCAAAGAAAGTTCATCCCTACAAAATCATATAGTTTAGTCAT